GGTGGCCGGGAGCAGCCACTGCACTCCAGTCTGGGCGACAGAGTGAGACTCCAACTCAAAAAAAAAAAAAAAAAAAAAAGATGCCATCTGGGACTTTTCTAGGTAGAGCAGAGAAGTCAATACCTGGCTTCAAAGCTTCAAAGGACATGCTGACTCTCTAATGGGCACAGTGCAGCTGTGGACTTAAGTGTAAGTTAGTGCTCATTTACATTCTAAAATTTCTAGGACTCTTAAGAGTGATGCTAAATTGATGCTACCTGTGTTCTATAAATGGAGCCAAGAAGCCTGGACAATAGCACATCTGTTCATAGCATGGTTTACATTGTTGCTTATTTTAAAAAATTTCCATAATCACCCCAACCTTCAGCAGCCACCACCTTAATTAGTCAGCAGCCATCAACATTGAGTGCACCACAAAATGCGCTCATATAAGAAAGCAAATTTAACTGATACATTTTGTGTATGTTCTGACTGCCACAAGACCCTCCACCAGCCAAAAGATTAGAAGTTGCTGAAAGAGCAGATGATTGTTCCTGTTTTTAGTCATAAAATATTTTTAAATTAATGTGTATACATGGTTTTCTAGACAATGCTATTTATATTTAATAGACTTCAGTATAGTATAAACATGCTATTGCATATTTAATAGACTATAGTATAGTATAAACATAACTTTTATATTTACTGGGAAAATTATAATATTTGCTTTATTGTGGTGGTCTGGAACAAAACCCATAGTATCACCAAGGCATGCCTGTATGTATGTGAATTTGAATTCCTCTCATGCAAAAGATACGCTTTACAAGAGGCAATGCAATAGAAAACCACGTGGTTTAAGGTCAGAAAGATGAATACTGTCTTGGAGTAAGCCCTCTCGAACTGATTCTTCTGTGTATTAAGGCTTCTGTTATTTTCCAGCACTGTTTTTGGAGAAATGTTTAGAGTACTTAAGCATACGGCCCACAAGGAGGTACTTATTTCTGGACTAGTGGGCTTCCTTGTCATAGGGTCCTTAGAGTACTCAACCATCTTTGTGGTAGTTGGTAATGATGAGGCATCAAAATCACCTTGAAGCATGAAGCCAATAGTGTAAGTTTTCTTGAGGAGCTGTGTGGAGTGGGGGAAACATACTTAAGGATGAATCCGGGATTTCCCTCCAGTTCCCTTTTTTACCATGTATACATTATTCCCTGAAGGAATGGTCCTCAGACCACTTCGTGCTAGGCACTGTCCTTAGAGCTTAGAATATAAAGCTGAAGACAACTGTTCCTGTCTTCAACAGGCTTACAGTCAAGGTGGGGAGACAGACAGATTTGTGTGTGATAAGGGCTATGGCAGGCAACGCAGAGGGATTAGGATTACAGAGGTGTGGTGACTGAGGAAAAGGTGGAGCAGTGATATTTGATCTGGGCTTGGAAGGATGAATAAGCGTTATGTAAATGAGGCAAGGAGGGAAATTGAGAGGGAGGTGGGGTGGGAGGAAGAAAGGGAATATTTTAGGAAGAGGTAATAAAATTCACAGAAGCAAAGAAGATAAAATTTCATGATTTTTCAGGGATCTGTGTTATTCCAATATCTGGAGAGAAGCTGTGAAGAAATGATAGCCAGTGAAGAAACGATGTAGCAGTAGGCTGAGAAAAATTCAAGACTTTGCATGCCAAGATAAACATTTAAGTGAACCCTCTTACCAAAAACCACAGTGATTTCAAGCAGAAGAATATTTTTCTGTTTTCCTTTGCTTCAGTTTTCTCATTTGTGATATGGGCCTAACAGTTCATTTTGTTCCCTTTTGGGGCTGCTGCTTTCGATCATGTCGTTATGGGCTCTGTCATGTACACCTTTACTCTGACTAGTTTCCTGACCTGCGTGATCCTCCTGGC